GGGGCGCTGCCGCAGCGGGCGCTCGCCCAGTACCTGCGCGTCCTGCGGCTCTACCCGGTGCTCACCAAGGCGGCCACCAGGTCGGCGCGGAGGGGTCGGGCCCGGGCGGGGGGCGGCCCGCAGCTCGGCCAGCGTCGGGGACGCAGCCCCGTAGGCGCGTCCTGTGCGGGGATTTGAGTGCGAAAGGCGAGATGCCGCGGGTCAGACGACCCCCAAGCCTTGCTCTAGCCGGAGAGCTCGGCGTAGGCGGCTGTGTGCGTCCGGTTCTGGCGGGTCGTTGCCGGGGAGCTAGACCAAAGGAACGCACGGACCGAGGCGTCAGGCCCCTTCCCTGGAGGTCCCCTCCCGAAGGTGCGTGGGTCCGGCCCACCTCCCCTTGGCGGCCGCAGCCGGACGGCCCGTTCCGAGGTCGGGGGCGTTCGGCTCCGTGTCTCGAGCGGCACCCTTAGCCTGGGCGGGGCGGCAGGCGTTTGCTTGCCTTGTCTTCGCAGCTCTGCACTTGGGGGAGAGGTGACGGCAGGCCCCTGCCCCCGGGTCTGCTGGTCCGTTGCACCCTTTGATTTGGGGTTCTAAAGTTTTTATGAGACATCGTTCTCCTTCGTCAGCTTTAATCAGTTAATTTTGTAAGCTCATCCCCTCTTATTAAATGCAGCCTTTCATAAATATGTACAGCATGCTTCCGGGGTCCCTACCCTCAGTGGGCTTTCTATTCTAGTGAGAAACTAGACAAAAAGCAAGATAAACAGGGAGGTCAGGGAGGTTTTATCTGAGGAGGTGACATTGGAACAGAGACCTGAAGGAGGGAAAGCAAAAGCTCTCTGGGCAGAGGGTACCCAGTGCAAAGGTCCTGAGGGAGGAGCAAGCTAACAGTGGAGCGGTGGAAAGAAGGTCTGTGTTGCTGCAGAAAATGAACAGTGAGGAAGGGACCAGGTGAGAAGGAGGTGGCCGAGGATCAGATCAAGAAGGTCCTTATCAGCCGTACAAAGAATTTTGGATTTTTTAGCACACAGAGCTTATCAGAAGGTAACTATAGACCAAACCTTGGAGCACCTGGGCCCATCTCCACCTTTCTACTGAAATTTATATTGTGGTAATTGTAGGTTTACATGCGGTTGTAAGAAATAATACAGGGAGATCCCTTGCACACTTTGCCCAGTCTCCCCCACTGGTAACACTTTTGTAACCCTCTAGTGCAGTGTCACACCCAGGACACTGGCAGGTGCAGTCCACAGGCCGGGGGGTGTGTGTGTGTGTGTCTGTCTGTGTGTGAAGTTCTACTGTCTCCACCTTTTGATGTAGGAACCTTACACCAGGGCTGCTTTAGGAAGGACTCATCTCTCCCCATCCCACGCTGCTCTCCGCACAGCCGTGCTGATTACATACAGGAACGGGCCACCCTCCTGCTGCTTTCTCCTGTTATCTGATTACATCTCTGTCCACAGTGGCATTTTGTCAGCACTTGGGAACTTCCTGGCCCAGTTGATTGTGAAGAAGCGGGAAAAAGAAAACTCCCAAAAGCTAGATGTCATTGGGCCTCTCAGATATGCCATTTATGGGTGAGTTCCATCAAGGGGCTGGTCTACCCAGTAGAAGACTGATTGCAACAAAGCGAGGGTGTGAGACCAAGTTTCTGAAATAACCTAATTTGGAGGAATAATTTTTTTTAAGATTTTATTTATTTGACAGAGGGAGAGACACAGCGAGAGAGGGAACACAAGCAGGGGGAGTGGGAGAGGGAGAAGCAGGCTCCCCGTGGAGCAGGGAGCCCGACGCGGGGCTCGATCCCAGGACCCCAGGATCATGACCTGAGCCGAAGGCAGACGCCTAATGACTGAGCCACCCAGGCGCCCCTGGAGAAATAATTTTTAAAAAAGCATTGAAGTAGGGGCGCCTGGGTGGCTCAGTTGGTTAAGCGACTGCCTTCAGCTCAGATCATGATCCTGGAGTCCCAGAATCGAGTCCCATATCGGGCTCCCTGCTCGGCGGGGAGCCTGCTTCTCCCTCTGACCCTCCCCCCTCTCATGTGCTCTCTCATTCTCTCTCTCTCAAATAAATAAAATCTTTAAAAAAAAAAAAGCATTGAAGTAATCATGGGAAAAAATCAGAATGGTGGATAATGTGAACTTGTTTTATGGTTTTCCTTTTGAATTGCTCGGGTGGGGGTGGCTGTCTTCATTGGGCTGAGAGATCTGAGGGCAGATAATTCACCTAAACCTAAGTTAGCCTTCAAGACACAAAGACCATGAAAGAGGAAAACAGACTCAAATATGGTCAGTTGTTTCCGTTATTTTCATAGTGTAAGCATCCAGAAAATAAATATTTAGGTATCCTGAAAAGTGTCCAGTTTCTGAACCACTTTTGGAATTGCAAAGACCACAGAGATTCAGTTTTACCAATTAAGTCTTCCCTGAGTTCTCAGGCCAACAATAGTGTTTGTATAGATGGATTATTTTGAAGTCTTTTGCAACAAGAGTCATTTTTTCAATTTAGAATTCAGAAATATCACTTTATATTTGTAAGCATGTTGGTTGCGGTCATCACAACGTTTCCATAATGTAGTTAAAGCCATAATCACCCTGGAGGGAGGGAGTGTGTCAGAATCCCCTGGGAAGTGTTACTCACAGTTTCCATCTTCAAGACTTCTGTTCCCTCTCAAGGCCTGTCTAGCTCAGCCGGTGGAGCATGCAACTCTTGATCTTGGGGTCTTGAGTTCGAGCCCCACGCTGGGTGGAGGGATCACTAAAGAATAAATAAAGCTAAGACTCTGTTCCCTCTCACTAAGGACCCCTGCTCTAGGCCACTTAACCTGTGGAAGGAGGAAGCAATAGCTGAGAACCACTTGTGTGAGGACTTCCAGTGTCAAAAATTGGAAGAGCCCTGGGTCCCTGCGCATCTTTTTACTGCTGAATTTTACAGAGCTACGGGTCTGTTGTACCAGTAGATGCGGTGGCTGTGTTCAGTCGTGTCCCAAGTACTCTGCACTTGGGAACACACAGGGTCAGTACAGACCAGCTAGTGCACGGCACCAGGTTTCACTCTTGCTAACTGCCCAGGAGGGTTTGATGAAAAGCTCTGACACCAGCGATGCATCCACTTACTCATCCTTGAGCACCTTCTCTGAGCCAGGCCGTGTTCTAGGCACTGTGGACAGTGTGTTCACGCCCAGTGAACAGACAGGCACAATCCTGTCCTGGGACGGTTACCTCTATTCAGCAAAGGGTACCGTATGACTAAACAGATGAGATCATGACATATGGTGACACAGGCTATGAAGACAGTGAGGCAGGACCTGGACTAGAGAGTGGCCGGGACAATGGTGGGTTCATTGTCCAGAACAATCATGAACAAAGTCTCCCAGCCGACAGTGTTGAAAAGGAGCTGGCCACATGGAAATTGATGGGAGATCCAAGGCAGGTCTAGCAGAGACAAAAAAAAAAGAATGCTTGAAGCAGATTCAGAGAAGGCCTGTTTTCTAGAAGGACCACACAGACCTGTGTAGTCAGTGATGGGAGGCTCCAGGGAGGCAGGGTTTAGGACCTGGGGTTTGGGGGTGAAGCTGGACCCAAGAAGGGCACACCCAGAGAATGGCAGTCCTGCTCATCCCCACCGTGGGGCCTCAGGTTCTTCTTCACAGGGCCACTGAGTCACTTCTTCTACGTCTTCATGGAGCACTGGATCCCTTCCGAGGTCCCCTTGGCTGGGCTCAAGAGGCTCCTGCTGGACCGCCTCCTCTTTGCGCCGGCCTTCCTGTTGTTGTTCTTCCTCATCATGAACTTCCTGGAGGTTGGTCTCTGCCATAGCTCTTTGTTTGGCTCAGCGATTCTTATCCTGGCGTCTGTGGGTGGAAATCAGAGGGCCTGTGAACTTTTCAGTACACTCCAACTGAAATTCCTCACTTCCCTTTATGAACGTCAGACACAGACCACGGTCATGTCAGCAGTACCTGTTGGTCCACGTGAGAAGTCACAGGCATCTTGACACCACGCGTCGTTTGTTACAGGATACCTTTTATGTTTCGTGGCCCCTCCTACCTGCCTCAAGGCCTGTCACTGTGTCAGTAAGCAAGCACATCTACTCATCTATCCTAAGATTCTTTTCCTGACTATTCTGAAAGGTGTATTTCAGTATAGTTTGTGCCTTGGTAATCCCATATATTTTATTTTATACAAACAGGATTCTGAGAAGGGGGTCCGTGGGATTCATGAAACAAGTTTCAGACCCCCGATGGCATTGCAGAACCCTGTGCTAACTCAGTCCTGAACATCACAAGTGCTCTGAAGAGGTTAACATAGCATAGATTTAAACCATCACAACCACCACATGAGAGGTGTGTTTGAGCAGAGTCACCAGGCATGTCTGTTGGTTGTGCCCAGCCCAGTCCCTTCCCAGTTCACCTCTACCCCCTCCCCAACTCTCCAAACACTGTGTGCCCAAGATGTGTTATGTTCTGCCCTGAGAGTAATTGTCCCAACCAATCACAGCAGCTAAATCCTTCTCCTTCAGGTTTTATTTTGAAGCAGCATCTTGAGTTCGGGTTCCTGAGGAGAACACCCCTTGTGGTTTAAAGTGTTCGGGGGGGGCGGGCAGGAAAGATGCTTCAACTTAACTGGTTAGTAGTAAGTCCCTGATAGTAAAAAGAGGTGTTGGGCAAGCCCTTAGGAAATCTGAGGTAGGGGGAAGCAAAGGGCACCCACATCCCTTTTTATCCTTCCAAATATGAAAGGAATGTGTGTTCATTAAAAGATGAGAACCCTGAATACATATGTCATAGGTGACCAAAGTGTGTAAGGTACCCAACACATAAATGATCTATGTGGGACCACATTATACCACACACACTATAGATGCTTCTGCATCTGCATTTAAATTTTTTTTTTTTAAGATTTTATTTATTTATTTGAGAGAGAGAGAATGAGAGACAGAGAGCACGAGAGGGAAGAGGGCAGAGGGAGAAGCAGACCCCCTGCCGAGCAGGGAGCCCGATGCGGGACTCGATCCCGGGACTCCAGGATCATGACCTGAGCCGAAGGCAGTCGCTTAACCAACTGAGCCACCCAGGCGCCC